AAACCAGTTGTTTCCTCCCGTGTCTAGTCTTTATTTTAAGCTAGGCTAATCACATGCAAACTGTGGCTTCTGATTTTGCTGATGTTCTTCTGTCAGTTCTGCAAAAAAGCAAAAATGTATTTCCCAAAAAGTCAAACTCATATTTTCATAAACATATGTATCATATGTGCAATAAATAAAAAAAACAGTGTTTCCATCCGAAATGCCCTGAAAAACTGTACTCGAGTAAATGTTCAACGTTACCCTTTTGTTGATACTGAAAGTTAAGGCTCATTAATCTAGTTGAAGTTTTGAAATGATAAGGACATGAAGAGACACGGTACACCTGACACTGCACTCGCTCCGACTGGTATTGCGTTTCTATTGGAAAGCATTGCTGCGTGTGATGACTCAGACTTTGCACAGTCATACTTGGAAAGATCCGACTCTCCTTGCTTTCAGGAATTTCCTGATCCCTGCTCGACTTCCTGCTAAAATGATCAGCAGGCTACAAAAGAGACTTACAGTCAATGACGGTCCCACCCACCCTCACAGCTGGCCAGCTATTGGGAAGTTCCAGGTTAATAACTAAACGCAGGACACATGCTGGAAGAGTCAGCAGGGCAGGGCAGAGATCCTTTGGGTCAACTGTGAATGTGGAGTCAGCACTGTGCATATTTGAGCTGAGTGAAGAGACGCTGTAGGATTGTTGAAGCTACTTTTAGTTCTATTCTGTGAACTGTTTACCAACACTGAAATGTTTTGGCCTGGTAAACGACATACATAGATAAGAAATGCATTCAAACTTACATTTAAAATATTTGTAATCACAAAATGACTTGTCACCGCAAACATGAGTCACGACAACACCATCAGATCAGACGGACTGTAGTTTCAGCAGAAACAACTGTGGCTTTAAGACGTCTTCCGGTCCCTGGTCACACCTTGATTGTAGTTTTCCTACTGCTGCATGTTCTATCGTGTTGGTTTGCTTGACGTCAGAGGGGAGTGCTCTTACTCACTCTGTTTAAGCTACATTCTTGTACAGCACGTACCAGTGCCTGTTTCTCGTTTCCCAAACAGGAAGTCCTAGCCAAGACTGTTGCCAAATCACTTGTACTACACCCCTGTGGTGGAGTTTACTCAAGCAATGTCTGTCTCTGGACATGCTCATCCTTCCTGTAGAGTTCACTGATTGTTGGGAGTCTTTATACTTACTTGAACATGAAGTCATTCTTGAGCCATGTGTAGTCAAACAGTTTGGACCAGGAATAAAAAAAAGTGTTTATCAGTAACACCTGCTTTGAGAGTGGCCAGAATAAATATTGAAATTTAAAGTCCAGTTTTGAAGGCAAAGGACATTTGCAAGGAAATTACTCTTTGTATAAATGGAAGCAACTACAATTTAGATAAAATGAGAGAAATATTTGTGCCATGCAGCCTCACAATCTCCTTAAAACCTAAAGGCAGTGCACGTACTGCCTGCCAAGGAAGATTTCCAGCTCCAGTCTACTGTAAATACAACTGAACTGATGAGCAAACCCAGGTACAACAGAAAACAGGAAGGAGTGGGCTGCAAAAAAAAAAAGAAAAAAAGCCAAGGCTTCTTGTTCACTGAGAGAAGCAGGCCAGTGTTACAGTCCTGCAGAGCCACCTGGTGGTGATTTTAAAAGGCTTCACTCTGCAGCTTTGGAGGTAAAGAATCGTTGTTACGAAAAACACTTTTTTTTTGCAAGACAGTTATTTCAGTGCTCTTTATTTCTTTCTAAGTTGTGGCTTATGGCTTTATTAACTGAAGAAATCATTTTCACTTTTTTCTTTTTTAACTTATTTACACTATCAGTAAGAACTACCTTTGCATGTTAAAACCCCACATTGACTGGTTAAATTGTTATTGAATGAACCAGAATCCATTTATTCGCAACTTTAAACAACACTTGCAACAACAGTTATTTGGTAATTGATCATAAATTATTGAAATTTATAAGTGCAGACTTGATGGGTTGTTAGAAAGTGGGTAGCAGCTGAGCATTTATTAATGAATGACCAACATGTATAACTGTATTATTACTAATAGTTCTAAATGACTTTTTGGTGATTCAGAAGGCCATCTTATGAGCCCTTTATGAAGGACAATAGTAGTTTATAGGTAGCTGTTTCTATCTTGCCCGCGACCCTAGTGAGGATTAAGCGGTGTATAGATAATGGATGGATGGATGTTTCTGTCTTGTTTACAATTTGCAGCAGTGTTTCAGCTGTTTGATTAAAATTCTCATTGAAATAGCATTTACTTATTTCTCCTCTTAAATCGTCAGACTTACACCCAGTTAGTCATAGAATACATTTTAAAATGCTGCTGATAGATTGTAAACAATACATTGCTGGTGTCCCTGACTGTAACTCCAGCTGCTTATAACCTCATGTCAAAACAACAAAGCAAAGCTGGAACCGACAGGCTGCCATGGTAATAACTGCTCCGAATCACTTTACTGGGGCAAATTTAACTAAGTTACTCCATTATTTTACGTCTAATTGTGCTATATTTGATATAATCCCATTTCATTGTATTTTAGTTGATGTTATTCTATTTTTTTACACTTAATCCATTTATCCATCTAAATTTTTTCTGGGTTTGAACTTGCCTACCTACTATACAATACTAAACAGCAATAATTCCAAATATTATTCATGTTTATAACACATGCAGTTTGTTACTATAAAAAAACCTCATTACCTCTCATCATTTCATGTGACACATTCTTTGTAAGATCTGATTATGAGCAGCTTGTGGTGACAAACTGATCAAATACGAGATTTTTAAACACCTGATGGGTACAAATGATCAGATGTTGTGATGTTGTCATTCAGGTCACTGCAAAGTAAACTTAGACATGTGGAAACACTGAGATGACGACAGCAATGGAAGCTGCCAACCTCGTGCTTGCTGGTAAAGCACCTACACAGTGCCCCCAACTTGAGCTGTATATAAATGATGACAACTATGTCTCTGTGACTCATTAAAGAAAGACACACCACCCTTCCTACTGTGATTACTGATCAAACGACATGATTGAAAATAGGGTGATAGTTGACCTTTTGTGGCCACAATTCAGACGTAAATCCATTTTAAAAAACAGAACAAATCCACAGTAGATGTTTTTTTCTTTATTTAAAAAGTAAAACAACAAATGTAAATAAAAAAATACATGTTTTTGAGCTCAGCATAAGTATAGAAAAACAGGAAAACCTGGTGCAATGGCTGCACAGGTGCTGAGATTTAATCCCTCGCTAAAGCAGAACAAAAACAAAAAAACTCAGCACACTGAAACCTGATTTGAAATATATATCTATGTCTATATATATATATATAGACATAGATATATATTTCAAATCAGGTTTCAGTGTGCTGAGTTTTTTTGTTTTTGTTCTGCTTTAGCGAGGGATTAAATCTCAGCACCTGTGCAGCCATTGCACCAGGTTTTCCTGTTTTTCTATACTTATGCTGAGCTCAAAAACATGTATTTTTTTATTTACATTTGTTGTTTTACTTTTTAAATAAAGAAAAAAACATCTACTGTGGATTTGTTCTGTTTTTTAAAATGGATTTACGTCTGAATTGTGGCCACAAAAGGTCAACTATCACCCTATTTTCAATCATGTCGTTTGATCAGTAATCACAGTAGGAAGGGTGGTGTGTCTTTCTTTAATGAGTCACAGAGACATAGTTGTCATCATTTATATACAGCTCAAGTTGGGGGCACTGTGTAGGTGCTTTACCAGCAAGCACGAGGTTGGCAGCTTCCATTGCTGTCGTCATCTCAGTGTTTCCACATGTCTAAGTTTACTTTGCAGTGACCTGAATGACAACATCACAACATCTGA